ACGAGCACGCAGCGCCGATGCACTCGTGTGTTTCTTGGGGCCTTCGCTTTCGTCAACTCCATCTTGTTCTCGAACTCGACACAATTTCCAACCGTTTCCACTCGACACATTTCCACCGTTTCCACTCGACGAACATTTTCACCATTTCACTCGACCATTTCCATCATCACTTACCCCTAGTCGCCATCCTCATCTTCTTCATCTTCCTCTTCCTCTTCCTCCTCCTCTCCTCTGTTCTTCCTCGTCATCTTCATTTTCACTATAACTGGCTTGACTCTCATCTCCTTCATTGTTTTGGAAAAAATAATTTTTGGCATTTGCTGCTCTTCGTCTTGTCATCGTTCAAAACTGCCTTCCTCATTCTCCCCTCAAACAATCCGTTTCTCTCTTTCAATCATCACAACTGCCACTAGCTGCCTCTTCTTCATTTCTCTCATGTTCGGATTCGCCCAACTTTCAATACCATTTTTGCCTCTGACCAAACGCTGTTTTTTGTGAACTCTATGATGTCTTGCTTCCCTTGTTTTTAGTTGGGATGATTGTCGCATCCCTAAACTATTTTCTTCCTCTCCGCTAACTGTTTATGCAGAGGAACTTTTGCTTACGCCTTCGAGCGGCCTTGGCTACTCGCGCTTAATTTATTCTTGACTGTTGTTTTGTGTGTGTGTTAGTTTCGTGTTGATGCTGTTTTCTTCTTGTGTTGTTGCTGAGCCTTTACTCCGTGATTCGATTTTAGTTATACTGCCGTGATAGCTTTTGTTTAAGTGTATGGCCTTCCATTTCCCTTATGCGATATGTAGTCATTGTGTTTCGTTCCTCATCTTTCCTACATTACCTCGTGCTTCTCTCGTCACTCCTCATAAATCTATACGATTTTTTATATGTTGTTTTCTGAACGCTTATATATTATATTTGGTGCCATGTATTGTTTGCCTGGCCTTCCTCGTCGGTGGAAGTCTTACTTTTTTCCTACGAAGCCTTCTATATCACTACTCACTCTCGCAATCTCTCTCTCTTTTCTGACTTCTGGAATGCTAGACCGCTGGCTAATACATATAGCGATACAGCTTGTCTCTTATTCCTTGTACGCTCTCGCCTCTTGTGCTGTGTGGATTATTTTTTTTCTACTTTCTTCTCGCTTTTACTCATTTACCTTCTCTTCTTCTCTACCTCTCTCTCTCTCATAGTCCTCTCTCTCTCCCCGTTCCTTCTCTCTCTCTCTGGCTCTCCTCGGCTCTCCCTTCTCGCATCTCCCGCTGTTCCTCTCACCTCCCGTCTCGCTTCCTGCCTTGCTCCTGTCTTCTTATCCTCCCTTTCTCTTCTTCTCTCGTTCTTTCTTTCTTTCTATCTCTATTTCCTTTCTCTCGTACTTCGTCGTTTCTCTTGCATACTCTCTCCTACTCTCCGTCCTCCGTGCAAGTTCTCCTCTGCTCCTCTTCGGCGACATTATTGAAGGTAACGATTTCGTTTCAAATTTCATTTATCTTCATTTTTGTTACATACTATCCTGTTAACTCCTTTATCGTCTAGTATGTGGTTCTACAGTGTTGCTTACTCGCTGGTGGCGCTGTTACAGCCCATATTGCTCGTCCACCTTGTTCTCGCTACCTATTTCTATGCTAGCTTTTGCAGTGTAGACTCTGTTATATTCGCTGTCTTTTTCGCCGCTCATGTTGGTCTCAGCGTGCTCGCAGCCCCTCTTACTCCTGGGAGCTGCACGCGACCGTTCCCGGACGGCCCTTTGCTCCTCGGTCTGCCCTCAGTTCTGAGTCGCTCTCGCTTGTCAGAATGTTCTATTGTGTTATAGCGATTTATTCAGCGCAATGTGATTCCCTGTTTTTACTGCTTTCACTTCATCTTGCTGACATTCGTCATGATATTAAGTGCATTTCGTATTTTTCTTCTATCTTTTCGTTCTTGTGCTTGTGACTCCTCCTCGTACCCGTCATCGGTCCGCGATGACCCTTTCTACTTTTGGCCGTGTTTCGTCTGAAATTAGCCTTGGACGCCCGTGAGGATTCTTTGGAATATTTCACTTCCCTTAGATGTTATGTCTCTATGGATACGTGAGTCTTTATTGGTCTGATGGTTCTAATTAGTATATAGTGGTGCGGATTTTGAGCCTTATGCTTTTTGGTATCTCGTGACCGGCGTTGCTTAAACTTCATTTCTCGGTCCTTAGATACGTCTTAGGTATCTAGAGTCTCTCGTTTTTACTTCTGACTTTCTTTGAGAAGTCGCATATTATAGTTCAGCCAGCTCTTGATTTGACTTCTTGTCCCTATGTGGTTATGTTTTCTTTTGTACTACGCGCGTTTGTTAGACCGCGCCGTGCTATAGCCTCTTAGTGAGTGCTGTTGTTTGTGTTTCTTCTCTCGATAAGCGGCATGTTTTCTCGATACTTTTTCTCTCTCTTCGAATATTTGCCTCTCTCTTCCGTCCACGCAGAAACCTTCTTTTCTCAGGAATCTCTTCTCGATGTACCAGTTTGATGCTCGTCGTCGCCGGTTCTCCGTCGCTCCTTGGCGTCTATAGACAATCTTCACAATCTTCAATCGACCACGCTCATCAAATCTTACCCCTGATCGTTTTCACCGGTTGCTCAGGTATCCCCTCCTCCTGGGTGCTCTCTTGGTGTATTGTTCTCTTACTACGACCTCCTTGTGCCGCTGGTTGGCGGAGAGGATCTGAGCCGTCGCCATTCTAGCCTCGCTCGCCTTTGCCAGACCCCTTTCTTGATTTTCTGGATTTCTGTTTTTTGCATTTCCAACAGCGGGCGACATTGTGCACTCTGGGATTTCCCTTCTTTGTCGTCTTCCTCTTCGCTTCTCCGTGCTCTTCCTACCCCGTGTCCCTGTCGTCGCTCGCGGTTTCCATTCTCATCGCCGGCGCCTCGTTCTTCGTTTCGGTGCGCGAGAGTTCATCGCCCCATGTTTACTTTTCCGCCTCTTTTCGGAGGGCGCTTAATTTTCCTCGTTGAATATCTCATCAAGGTGTGTTCCATGGGCTCCTTCTTTCAGTTTCTGTTCCTGTTGCTCTTTCTGGCAGGAGGAGCGAGTTCTGCGCGCTTCTTGCTAGGCTAGCGCAAGTGTTTCACGGGGATGATTGAACCTAGTGTAGAGCCGTCTATCGACGGTTGAGAACACGAGGTCAGAGACAGAGGACGCCGCAAAAGAGAAGGCGGTCGACGATCGGGAATTGGATGGGGGTATCGCGAAGAGGGGTGCTGTCTTGCGGGAGGGCGAGGATAATGAGCTTCGCTAAGGCGGTGAGGATCGGGAGCAGGGTGTGCGGAACAGCGGTTGTGAGATAGATTGGTGTGTGGAGTGTGATGTGTGTGTGTGTGATGCGGTAGAGGGGTGGGGAGGGGGAGGAGAGAGGAGGGAGAAAGGAGAGGGGAAAGGAGGGGTAGGAGAGGGGGGAAGGAGGCGGTGGACGAAAAGGAGAGGGGAGGTGTGTGTGGTGTGTGTGTGTGATGGACAGGAAGAGAGGAAGTGTGAGAGGGGGAAAAGTGGTGATGAGGGGTGTGTGTGTCGTGGTGTTGTACCTTGAAGGATTTAAAGATGGAGGATGTGTCTGGAAGTTTGGAGGAGAGGAGAGAAGAAGAGGAGAGGGAGGGGGTGGAGCAGAGGGATTGAGGGGGGGAAGAGGAGGGGAGGAGAGAGGAGAAGACAGGAGAAGGGGGAGGAGAGAGAGAGAGGAGAGAGAGAGGGGGGAAAGGGGAAAGGAGAGGGGAAGAGAGGGAAGGGGGGGCGGGGGGAGGGGAGGGGAGGAGGGAGGGGAAGGAGGGGGAGGAGGGAGGGGGAGGGGGGGGAAGGAGAGGAGAGGGGGGAAGGAGGAAAGGAGGAGGGGAAGAAGAGGGAAGGGAGGGGGGGGGGGGAGGGGGAGGAGGGAGGGGAGGAGGGGGGAGAAGGGGAGGGAGGAGGGGTGAGGAAGAGGGGGAAAGGAGAAGCGAGGAGGGAAGCAAGGGGAGGGGAGGGGGAGGATAAGAGGGAGGGGAGGAGGGGGAGGAGAAGGAGGGGAAGGGAGGAGTTGAGGGAGAGAGGGGGAGGAGGGGGAGAGAGGAGAGGAAAAGGGGAAGGGGAGGAAGATGCGAGGAAGGGAGGAAGGAGGAGGAGAGAGGGAAGGGGAGGGGAGGAGGGGGGAGAAGGAGAACCGGAGATATTGGAGATGGACTGAAGTGTTCCTTTTTTGCTATGCATATAATGAAGTTTAAATTTGCAACGAAGTCTTTTTCATTTGCGGACGGGGATTCGTGATGGGTTTTATCTTCTCCGTCTCTCTCTTTCTTTTCTCTCTCTCTCTTCTC